TTTATTAACCTGACTTTTTTTGTGGGTTTACTCACCATTCTCAAGCTTCTTTTAATTTAATTAATTCTTGGTAGGTAGGGCTAAGGTTAAAAAGTAACTATGATATATTATCATGAGAATGATGATATAATTGAATTTTATTGATATGCAAATTATAATTAAAAGTTACTTGTATTTTGAATAGAGGAATATTGCACAACTTTAAAGAGAAAGTATTTTTTTATTTTCATTTCAAAAATTAAACAATAGTTATTAGTTTTATTAAATCATGAACTATTGATTTTTTTTATAATTTTAAAGTTTAAAATAAAAGATCCTACAATTTCAAAGAAAATAAACTTAACGCTTTAGGATTTAAATCCCATAAAATTGAGATGTGTGAATTTATGTAAAAAAAATTAATACTACTTTCATTTTATTATTTTTGTAAAATATAAAATCTCCTATTTATTTATTAAAAAGAAAAAATTCACATAAATTCACATAATTTAAATTTAAAGAAAATTAATGTCTCAAGCATTAAAAAAATATCAATAAATTTATCAAGAGGCACTTATAATTCAAATAATTGAAAGAATTGAATCAGCTTCTTCTGAAATCTTAAGTTGAAGCCTATGACATGTGGAGTTTAAATTAGTTTGAGCATACAAAAAAAAAAAATTAGTCTGAGAGTAGAAGGTGGTAACACCCTTACATTTTTTAAGATAACAAATGATGAAATCAAAAGAAAATATGAATAAATTTCACAATAAAAAAGAATACCGATAAAATTCAACTAAAAAAGGAGCAGAGGTAGTACCCAAAAAAAAAAAAAAATTACAAATCAAGAAAGGAAGGAAGGATGGAAAAACAATAATAATATCTCATAAAGAGCTTCATGGGGTTAGGGAGAAAGTCAACGTATCTCTTTATACGAAGCAAAATATGCACCATTTTTATAAAAGCATAAACATTTTTTTTCCTATGCTTTACATTCACACATTTTATATTTAGAACAGCTTTACACTACTAAAACTATGAAAGTCACGAAAGTTTTCCCATTAACATATTAGTCATAGAAGAGCTTCATGGACTTAGGGATTACGGTTTTTTATAATATATGTTGGCTTTTATGGAAGGCTCGATGTAAAAGACTCTTTGAAGGAACCCAATTCAAGTCTAATGAGATTAGACATCAAGGTCTGTACTTGTTGATGTAGGATTCAAGTACCAACAAGTTTAAACATGCAATATTCCAAGGTTTTTTAGATGACGTAAATAGATGGACCTCTCCACCTAATGGCTATGTTCGTGTTGATGTGGATGCATCCATTAACCAACAAGGACATGCCACTTGCGGGGGAGTGTTCCGAAACGAATAGGGAGATTGGATTCTAGGCTTTAGACTTGAATTAGGAAGAGCAACCATCTCAGTTGCTGAACTTCTCACCATAAGAACAGGATTGGAGATTTGTTGCCAACAAAAATTTCAAAAAATAAGCTGTTCTCTAATTCTTGGGAAGCCATCAACATGTTTTTTAGGGATTGTCATTCTGATTCTTCATTTAATAAAATAATGACAATTCATGATCTTATTTATAGCAATTGGGACCTTGTCATAAAACAAATGTCCAGAGAGAATTTAAGTTATATTGATTATTTAGCCAAGACTGCTCACACTGTTGGAGCGAACACTGTTTTACTTTGAAATTGTCCCTTAGGTTGCTTAGACATTTTGTTGTTGGATAAGAGGAATGTTTAGTTTCTCTTTGCTTTTGTAATTCAAGCTTTGGCTTGCCTTTGTAACTCAAAAAAAAAACAATATTAGTTATCAATATTAAACACATTTTCCCTATAAATTTACATGTCATATAAAAATGAGTTAAAATGACTTATATTATTCATAATTTATAAATATAACCTATAAATAGTGTGACTCGTTATAAATTTTTTATTTATTATATTTTTTTGATAAAATTTGTATTTATTATATTAAATACAGGTCCTATGATATGAAATGTTTTAAAAATGAAACACTTGTGTTCATTAAGTATGAATAACAAAATTTAGTAAAAATTATTATCTTATACTCTCTCCATTTAAAAATATAAAATATTTTTAATCAAATCTCACCCCTAATAAAATAATTATTTATCTTGAAATTAACCTTATGTTTTCATATTTACTCTTATTTAATAGGATATTTTTTATAAAAATATAAAATGATTTATTGAATAGAGACACTTTAAAAAAATAATAATTATATTTTAAAAAATTTAAAAATAATTTTTAAATATTTAATTTTTTTAAAAAATATATTATAATTTTTTAATGAAGAGAGTAATTTATATTGGCATTAATAATTTGTCAATCTGTGTTGCATAAAGTCAATTTTATTATAGTCGAACAATGAGTTCACGTCAGCAAGCAGCTTCCTTATTATAACTTTCTTTTATGTTTCAGGCAGACGGAGTTACAGAGTAGTCAGAAGACAGAGAAGGAAGCAGACTTTTGACTTTGAGGTTTTACCTTTTGGCCTTTTATTTTTATGCCAACAACGATAAAAAAGTCTTAAATTTTTGAGTTTCCATTTCTGGTCTTGCCGTCATGCGAATCACTTTCTGCAACATCATCGTCTTCCTCCAACTGTAACTCCTCTGCAAGTTGAAGCAAAGACGACGCAGCCTCCATTTCTGTCTTGCGTAACTTCACGTTATCCCTGAGTTTCTCCAGCGTTTGCCTCAATCGCTCGAGCTTGCTCAGATCATCAGGACTGGTTTCAGGCCCGAGGCCACACTTGAACTTCTTCTCCTCGATCGCCTTGTCCAGCATCTCGCCTTTCTTCTTCTCCTCCTCCAGCTGCTTCGTCAGATTCATTAGCCTCTGGTTCAGTTTCTCCGCTTTTCGAGAAGCTTTCTTCGAGGAAGACATACCACCTGCCGGATATTTGGCCTCCTCCTCATCGTCGTCTTCCTCTTCGAGGTGCCGGAGAAACCTCTGAGTAACCACATCGACGGAAGGATGGCCGAAGGAGAAGGGTTTGCCACCAGGCGAGAACACCACAATGGCGAGTTCGGCGCCGCACAGGATCGCTAGCTCGTTCGCTTTCTTGAAGACCCCGTTCCGACGCTTTGAGAACGTCACCAACCTCGACCCTGCGTCCTTCACCATCTCCATCTTGATCTTCCGGCGACCCATGGTTACTGTTTCGTTGGTTACTTTCTTCTTCTAATTCTCTGAATGTGAATATGAAGGTTGAGAGATGTGTGGGGTGTGTATATATATATACACGCAGAGAAGAGATTGAAATTAATGTTTCTAATATTGGATTTTTATTACTATTTATGTTGGTTTTGGGCTGTAATGGAATGGATTTAATTAATTTTCCACTGTTATTTGCATAGGTTGAAGGATCAACACTAAATGGCTTGGCATTTTTCAATTCAATTGTCTTGGATTTTGGAAAAAATAATAAAGTTGGTATATGCCTCGTTTCTTTCTTTTTCCCTCGACAGCTTAAAGTAAATTACTGCAGGATTTTTTAAATTGTGGTTCAGTATATACAATATGTATTCCAAATTTGAAGTCTTCCTAAAATGGATATATTTGTGTGTGCGTGTAAAAGTATTCGTTTGGGTTGCCATTGTTGGTCATGACTCCATGACCAAGAGGACAGGTTGAGAGCATGCAAAAATAATACTCCCTTCATCTTAATTTATAAATTTTTTAATAAAATTATACCCCTTCCAATTCATGATATATAAAATTTTAAATTTCTTTAGTCTTGAACATAATACGAGATTAAAATAATTAATGCTTTTTTCTCAATTTTTATCCTTGCTTATTTATTGTCATTTAAATTCTTAAACAATAATTTTAATTTGAGGTTAATATATAATTTGAGCCCGAACTATTGATCCAATGGCTATTTGAATCATAAACTTTTAAAAAAATACATCCTAAACCTAAATCATTAAAGTTCAGGCAATTTCCTTCCCATCATTAAATTTTAGCAAATGTTTATTAAATTTTTTGAAAATTGGGGCCTATTGTGTGATTTTTATCAAATTTCACTCTCTCTCCTACCATCATTTGGTGAAAATTGCACATTAGGTCCTCAATTGACGAACGTTTGTTTCAACTTAATAGTGGGAGAGAATTGCTTTAACTTTAATTGTTAGGATTCAAAATATATATTTTAAAAGTTTAAAGTTTAAATCTCTTTTGAACCTATAGTTCAAAGGTTTACATTGCATATTAATCCTTTATTTATTGTGTCATTAGTTACAAAAAAAGGATAAAATTGAAAAGTTATAATTTTTTTTCACATTTTCAAAGTTATAACTAATATTTTTTTAATAAGTTAAAAATTTGTTAACTTTGTCTTATATTAAAGACCCAAGTAGTACATATAATTAAATATAGATTACAATCTTAATTTTTTTTTATAAATTTTTAAAATGCTGACTTGTGTCTT